AGCTGAAGTTAGTCTAGAGGGGAATAGAACACTTTTCAACTAACTTACAGACAAAAGAGAGGAAAACTTATTCTCACCTCCACAGATGAAAAGGACAAGTAGTTTTATGCTGAATATGTATAAAGATTAGTATTAAATATGCATTGAACACTAGGCAGAAAATACTTTCCAATGCTAAATCTAGTAAAGTTTTGTGAAAGATTGCCTAAGGAGAGTGCAAAGACTCCATAGTTTAAGAGAATTATTTTCTATCTGTCATTTCCACCTTAGAACTGAAACACACAATAAGTGGCCCAAGTCCCTTCCAAGTTATATGACTTTTTCTTTATTCTGTCCTCTTTCTAAATACAGACTATATATTTCCGTAAATATTTTCTCTATTCCATGTTCTGAAGAAGGACACAGCTTGATCACAGGACTGGGACCTATAGACTCAAGGATCAGAGTGAGTTCATGGTACAGAGGTCAGGCTGGGTTATAAGCATGCATCACACAGCAACTGCATTCATCAGCTACCTGCAGGTTACAGCACAGTGAGACAGTGGGTCAGTTCATAATAATACTTACTTGTCTGCTGCATGGCATATTGTGCCACATGTGTCAGCCATATCATCGACAAGAATTGCTACTCTGTCTTTCACATCACCAACCAAGACCATTCTGTCCACTTCATTTGCCTTCTTTCTTTCCTTATGAATGAGAGCAAATTCCACATTCAGCCTGTCAGCAATTGAAGTAACCCTAAGTTACAGGAAGAAATACACCACATTTAGAGAATTATTCTAAAAGAAAGAACAGAGGCATGCATGTGTATTTGTCTTAAAACAGTTTTTATGCTTCCTAACTTTCAAATTACCACGGCGCAAACTTCTGCAAGTAATGAGACAGGTTAGAAACAATCTTAATTCACTGCTAATAAATACAATCAGAGTGTGTTAACCTATACTCCAGAAACTGAGTTTTTCATTGAATTGACTTTGGTTTTCTGTCATTAAGTACCTGGCACTGAAAACATTTCAGCTATTCACAATTCAGCTGCTGCAATAGCTAGATAATTTAAAGCTGATGTAGCCATAATTCTAAGCCTACAGTAGCCTGCACCTTAACATACTAACTGAAAATACCATTGCAGGAATGTGAAACCAAACTAATGGAAAAAAGCAAAGAAGTAAGTTAATAGTGATTAATAATTCTTTTAGCAGTACTTGGACTAGTAAGCAAGTAGCCTACTTCGTTAGCAATTCCCTTAGCAATACATTTGTTTGACAAAGGTCTTTTAAACTGTTCAGGGTGACCTCTGGTGGTCAGACAAACCTCCAATAAAAAACTTAATTTGTTACAGACTTCTGATTGCTTTTTTCAGGTTTTTTAATATACCACAGCTAGTAGGTATAAAGACACAGGAATAAACAACACTATGCTTTTTCTATGCTGGCACAACATTGTAGCTTGTCTTTTTTTTTTAACAAGGTTATTAACGTGCAAGGTTATTAATAGAGAATACAGTTTTGTTTCTTTACCACTTAAACATGAAGAAATCATTAGTTACTGCATTTCAACAACTGGATGATATACAAAAGAACCCAAAAGTTTTGGCATTTTTTTTGTAAACAGTGTAATTTCATAGCAAGTCTCAATACCTCAGAGGCATTAAGATATCAATAGAATTTGCATGCCTTATTTCAGTCATAAAATTCAATAAGCTGGAATAAAACTCAAGTGGTAAGAAACAAAAAATAATTCAGATATTTTAAATGAGTGCAAGAACATGTATATTTAATTTTTTTTATTGCTTACAAATTTAAATTTTAAAGACAGACTTTCTCCACATTCTATTTACTTTTCATTAAGCCAACTATTATTTTGAAGGTCCACACGTTTAAATGAAAAGGCCAAACCATTTGCTTTATATTACAGGAGGTGAATGAAAAGTTGCGAATTTATTGATAGCAACATCTTCCGCTGCTTCACCAGCAACTGCTTGTTTGCATTACAACAGCAAGGTACCAAAGACAGACTCTATCTATGTTAAATACAGTGAGTGGTCCTCAAAAAAATAAGCTCTTATGATCCACTTGATAACACACCACATTTGCTAAGAGGAAAAAAAAAAAGCTGTCTTCTGACTTGAATTCTCAGCAAAGGCTGTACTTTATTTAAAAAAAGAAACAAACAAAACCAACTGTTAAAACATCAGTCTTCAGGTAGGAACAAACAAAGAATTTTAATTGACCGAGTCATCTGAATTTTAGAATGCTTCCTATAGTTTATATTCTTGACATCTTTAACTTGATTAATCTAAACAGAAACAACTGTGGAGTTCTAATCAGTCTTATTTCCCTACTAATTACTAGAACATCGTAACTGACAACAGACCCAAGGACTTCAATTAAAGTTACATTGTGACAGTCTATGGCATTTTCCCTCGTACTACATTCCAAACATTTAAATTACTATGGGCTTATAGGAGTCTTACTTCACTTGTCTTTGTTCCTATTCAGTTCTGTAGCAGCAGCATGACCAATAAAACTTGAGAACAAGCATTTTGCCTCATGGCATGCTTTATCACCTTACCAGCCAGCATGCCTCTAAGCTTTTTGCATTAGTTCATACTCAGTAGATAGCAAATAAATACTGCTGAATGGGTAACATATGCTACAGATGAAGAAACACTCCAATTAACTAACTGTTCTATTTTCACCTTTTGCCACTCAAAACAAAACTTCACTGCCTTTTTCTAGTATTCACAGTGCACAACTTGGGGTCAATAGTTCTACAGCTGGAATTCAATAACAAAGAAAAAAGAAACACGACTCAAGCAAGCTCTTACCTAAATGCCAGCAGGTACAGTGGGGATAGCCCATATGCTTTGACAGAGAAGAGAAACAGGCAATTCCAGAGCGAAGCAGGAAGAGGTGCAGCAACTGGAGTAAAGAAGCAAGCAGCAGGAAAAATCTCTTCCCTCCAGCAGAGGGATTCAGCTAATGAGGCCATATCCAGGGAGAGAGAAAAAGATTTTCTTTAGAGTACAGAAAGCTCCTAGATGTTTTCAAGCATGAACACTAAAAGAACTTATTATTCTGTTTCTACAATGCAGTTGGATTCATCAGTGATGCACTTTATATCTTGATTAATCCACAGAAGAAAAAAGACTAGACAAACTAGTTCATTAACCACTAACTATATATAAAACTAATAGTTTTAGGCTTGTATAGTACCTTTTCGCACCACCTGCATCAGGTGAGACTATAATACAGTTTCTCCACTCCAAAATGTTCTCTTTAATCCATTGCAGCACTGCAGGTTCTGCATACAGGTTATCTACCGGAATGTCAAAGAAACCCTAGCGCAAAAGAGAAAGAGTTTCATGAATATATGTTCATGTCTTACCTGGAACAAAGACACAGGGAAAGATCAAACATTTGCGTTTCATATATGGTAGAACTTTAATTAGTGTTTTACACTGGCCTAATTCGGCCATCTGCTATTACTATCAAACGCAGTGGAAGTTAGACAAATAATGTCTCAAAATCTCACCCAAGAATAGTGAAATAAAGAACAGCTGATCTCAAATGATAGAAAAAGCAGGAAAGACAATAACTTTCAGGCGCTAAAGTAAATTAATGCCTGTGAAAAGCTCTCAAAAAAAAATAATCTAGTAGCTCTCAACATCCAGAAATGAAATCTTTCTTTTTGTGCAAGTTGTAACAAGAAGAAATATGTCAAATGAAGCTGCCTTTTATTTGTATGACAGCCACCTAGCATAATGGGAAATTTTGATTAAACAGAATATCAGAACTGGAAAAGGTTGCATTTTCCAGGAAAAAACAAAAACAAACAAAAACCCCCCAAAAAACCCAAAAACAAGGTTTCTTGAAAAGAGGTACACATGAGAATGACAAATGATGACTGCTCTGTGTCTGAGGAAAGAGTTTTGTTATTTACTGGATTCAGCAGTAAACCAGCTAAGTAAGGGTTGCCAGCCTCTATCTCCACTTTTCTTAAAAGAGTATTGTCCCCCTGACTGAAACAACAAAATTCTATCTAGGACAATACTGTAATCTCTGACCAGGCCAAGATTAAGGCAACTTGTCCCAAATCAGTATATTTCATGTTCTGGGAGCTCTTAGAATCATAGAATGGTCTTGATTGGAAAAGACTTTCAAGATCATAGAGTCCAACCATCGATCCAGTCCGCCACTAGACTATGTCCCCAAGCACGACATCTACTCATCTTTTAAACACCTCCAGGGATGGTGACTCAACCACCTCCCTGGGCAGCCTGTTCTAGTACGTGACAACACTTTCAGTAAAGAATATTCTCCTAATATCCATTCTAAACCTTCCCTTCATCTTGGTTCTGGGAGTTCTTGCTAGACTTGGAAAATTCCACTGAAGACTCCAACAAACAAGTATTCGAAGTGCCTGCAAAATCACCCCATAAAAATCAAGGCTGGTCTCTTTCAAAAGGGGAATTTAATTAGAAATAGGTAATGAGACTTTCTATGAACCCTGAGAATTACAATTCTGTACATTGCCTTTAAAAACAATGAGGAAAAAACACCAGAGGACTCAATTAGTCTTTCACATTCAGAAGAGCTCCTAGCCACAGTTAGTAAAAACTGATAGTTACCTGGATCTGAGAAGCATGCAAGTCCATGGTGATGATGTGGTCAGCCCCTGCAACTGACAGCATGTTGGCAACAAGTTTTGCAGAGATTGGAGCACGACTCTGAGGAATAAAGCACAAATGTTAAAATTTTAAAGAGATTTTAACTAGATGCAAGGAGTCAAAAAATAGCTACTTTTATTGATTTTTCCCTTTAGAATATTTGGAATCTGGATATGAAGAGCTCCAGAACTTTAGCCAAACTAGCCTGTCAATAGCTACTCTTCCCAATACATTTAGGAATATCTAAATCAGTTTGCACAGTCTGCCTAAAAGTGCTTTGTAGTAATTAGACTAACAAGCAGATAAAATTTGAGCTACAATTTTCCAGTTCCTCTGTTTAAAACTTTCAGCTAGCTTTACTTTAGCAGAAAGACAGACAATCTCCTTTTCTGCCACTACCCTTTGCTAATGTTCAACTCAAGGAACTATCATGTTCTAAAAAACATTCCCAAAAACAAAGATTGAAGGTAGTAAAACCAACCTTTGAAAGATTTGCTCTAAAACAAAGTTAGTATCGGGCTTTTCTTCATCATACAGTAAAGCTTGTAACAAATCCATGTTTGCAGGGGTCTTCTACCCTGACCTATTTATTTATTCTTTTCTGCTAATTCAGGCTTAGTTGTTGGATGCAATCAGGGGTCTACAATTCCCAAAAGGGACGGGGGGGGGAGGTAAAAAAGAAAAACGGAGAGAAGTGGAAAGAACAAAAGAGGTGGGGGTGAAAATCTAATTAGTAAAGTTAATGCCAATGTCAAGAGCTTTTTAAAAGTGACAAGGATGCAGAACAAACAGCAACGTAAAAAAGAGAAGATGGAAAATAATGACTGGAGGATCTCTCAATTTTTGTTTGAGCAACTCCAAAGGTTTTTCAGGTTTTTTTAAGCTCTGAAAAAATCTATGTTGCCCTAGACTGCCTTCTCTGTAACAGAAATACTAAACCAAACCTCCTGTTTTCTTTTTGCCAATCTTTAAATAAGGCTAATGGCTGGCAATAAGATCAGCATGAAGGCAGAACTGCAACTCAGAGGTTCCATCTCACTGTCAGACTCTGTTTTTTGCTGGCACAGTATTCTCTCTTGTTACATCTCTTTTTTCAAAAGGCCACATTTAGCCTCATAGGAACCCTCTCCGTCCATCCCATGCACACAATTAGAGAGTATCACTGCTCCCCTTCCAGTGATACTCAAGGGCATAACCTAAAATAAGCTGGAGCATTGCCAGTTTAACCTGATGCTTTTCTATCTGTGTCATATCAAGGAGCCAGTATTTTCCTCTAAAATTTTGCTAATTTAGATAGAAACTCAGCATTTCTCTGTTTTAACCTGCAGATTGCCAACATACCTCTAGAGAAGAAAGTGAGTTATTGCAGTTTTTATTGGGGCTGGATCAAATTTATCAACATAATTGCAGAAATCCTTAATTTTCAAAACCATCCCTTTCAGTTTTGGTGTTTCACAGAACACCACCACCATTGGTCTGTATAGGATACGCAGAAGATATACGCAACAGCTAGCACTTCCCTAGTTCTCTGTGTTTCAGATGCACATAGCCTCCATAAAAGTCTGCTATCACTAGTGCTTCAGCACAGATGATTTTCTAGTTACTAAGGACTATGCTGCTCCTCATTTAAGTTCTGTTCTGTAAGGTCCAAATCAGCCAAAGCTTTCTGGATATTTCCATTAGTAGTAGTGAACTTTTGGTTCATGACAGTCAAATTCCTGATCATTTCAGCTCATCTTAGCAAACTGACGTTTTTAAGCTGGGCTTCAAAATATTTTCAAATCTCTCTGGCAACATCTAATAAAACAAAGACACAATTTCTACTCTTGTGGCTCTACTACAGTGTTCATTTAACAACTCTTTGCAAGGATCTGGTTTGATGCTACAGTTAAGCTGGACTAACAGGTGATGCTGAAATCAGCAGTTTGCTTCCCTGCTTGTCCCATCTGTTCTTCCCAGGCTATGCAACTCCACCGCTTTCTCCGTGCTGCACACCAGGACAGCAGCAAGATGAGGCAGCTCAGAAGAGAAGATGGCAAACTAGGACTAACCCCTCAGGCAGAAACAAACAACTAGTTCAGGCTAGCTGCTGAAGGCAAATTACAGTCTTCCCAGAATGTGGTTTGCCATTCTCTTCTCTATCAGACATACTGAATTTTGGTTTTATTTTTTTCCATTTCTGTTCGATGTGAATACCATTTAGCCTGTTTCATGTATTAAAACCATAACCACCAAAATACTTTCCTGCATCAAATACTAAGGTATACATTACCAGTTGGTACTTCTTTCAGCAGCTGGCCTTGCAGGCTGCCTTCCCAGAAGGAAGAACTTGAGGGTTTTACCACTAGGTAACTTGTTTTAGCAGATAAGCACACATCACAGTTTGCCTACATGTTGGTGGACAGAGGGTCTTGAAAGGAAAGATAGCCAGACACCAATACCTGTTTCTCAAGAATGAGCTAATAGGAGATTAAGACAAATGAAGTTTGTAGCTATCTGACAGTTTCCTTTACACAAAATTGTGCATTAAAAGAAAACACACAACACATTCAAAAGGATTTAAGATTTGATTGCTTGCATAGAAAATAAGTTCCATGCTACAGTATAATCCAAACTGAAGATTATTTTAAAATCAAAGGAAGTATATTCATGAGAACCTCAGATAACCTGGCCTCATTCAGAAATTCTGACAACAAAAGTAGATGGGAACTCAAGATTTTCTTTAACTTTATCCTGGAGTTTAGAAGAGTTTGCTTCTGATCAGAGAGGCAAGAACACAAGAGAGATTCACAGTATTCATTGTTCCATTCTTTGACTAAATTTGAGATTAGTTTAAGAATTATTAGTGCGAAACACAACATTACATTATGTACAAAAACTAAATTGTAAAAAAAATCATTGAGTTTTTAGTTCCTAAGCAAATTCCCCACTTACATATAGCAAGCTATATAAATGATTTCTTACTTTGTGACACATTAGAAATTTATTCACAAGTCTTAAAATTACCAGGGGCAGGGGGGAATCCGCAAAGCTATTATAAACAACCTCACAAGAGTAACTATGCAAAGGACACAGAGCTGAAAGTAGAAGTTGCCCATCAAAACTAAAGTTCTGTTGCCTATAAGCATCTTATTACATTGTCTTGCTCAAAATGCAACACATGCATACTGAACAATAAAAAAATATTCAAGAAACCCAAAGATTTATAACTGGAACTTTCACTTCCAAGAAAGCCAGTTGTGAAGTGTATGGATACTGAATGTTCACTAATATATTACCTACATTTATAGTTTCAAAAATGAGATATGCTCTGAAGCTTCAGAAGTTGACAGCCATTGTCTTGAATGTCCAGACAAATTTTTAACTAGAAGCTGGGAGTTTTCTAGTGACAAATTATTCCACAGGATTAGTCTGTCATGGCCTAGGTGAAACACAACTGGAACCAGGAAGTGAAACTGAAAATGTTCCCAGTTATACATAATGTAACCCAGTAAGTTTCACCCTTTAAGGCCATGTTAATGGAAATGCAGTGTGTTAGATGAAAAGGGGGGGAAAAAAAAAAAAAAAAAAAAGGATACCTACCCAACGCTCCACGGACCCCTTCTACAAATCAAAAAAACAAAGTTACATGAGCTGTAGAACACCAAACTCACCTGTCACTCTACTTCTAACTTCTCAAAGGCATCTCTGCACCATCCTATATAAATGTACTCTGCCCATGGCTTGGAAGGTTAGCATAATTAGAAGATGCATAAATGCAACTATGGCCAAAACACAGATACACCTGAGCTAATTTTAAATTAGCTACTTTGTGTATCAGAAGTATTTTAGTTTATGGCAGTGCTTGACTGCATCTAAATTAATTTACCAACTTTTCAATGATTCTCAGCAAGCCTTTAAAAAAATAAAAAAATAAAAATAATAATAATAAAAACCCCAAACAACCAAACTTCTGTTTCTCATTTAAAGCTAGTCCAGGTTTAATGGTAAAGTTTCCAGAGTAGATTACACAGACTTTGTTAAGAATATAATTTTTTACTGCAAGGTTCTTTACTTAAATAAATAAATCAAGAGCATTTTCACTGTTCTCAGTGAACAGAGGCATGAAGAATATAGGGTTATTTCAAGCAGTAAGGACTCAGTCTATTTAGATCTTTATGAATCGAAGTCAACAACTTAAATTCAAACCAGAAAACAACATCCAGGTAGTGAAGATTATACTGCTTAAAGTTCATAACCAAGCAAACTACAGCAATATTTCCCACCAGAGAAAAGAAAATCTGTGTATAACTATAGGAAGAAAATGGCTGGCACTTTACTGACACTTCAGGCAGCATACAAAGATTGTGCACTCAACACGGGTCAAAGACCAAATGATGTGATGCAATCCAACAGAGGAAGGAAAGAATTTACTAAAATTTACTTCAGCCCTGTCAATAAGCTGCTCAGTGTTGACAGCTATATTATAGCTTATTTTGCAACATGGAGGTCAACTACCAAGGTTAATTTCCAAAGATGGCAAACATTTTCTCAGTTGCAAAACAGAGGTAAAAAAAAGAAAAAAGAAAAAAGAAACAGCTTTCCTGGAATTGAAGGAGAACTCAGTGACACCCAGAGAACAGTCTGGAACAATGCTAAAAATCTTTTAAAAATCTAAATCACTTTCCCAGGCTATCCATCTTCAGATAGCACTTCCAAAGGACAAAATGCTCCTGGGTGGCATGCTGGGTCACCACACTGTGGGTTTTAAGCGTCTCTCAAGAATCTGCCACATGGATTTTGTGTACACTTGAGGCATAACCTAAATGAATGGAAAACCTGGGACATACTCATCCTTTTCCCACACTAAGAACTTAAGAGGATAGTCCAGCAGAATCTTCCAATATGAATTTGGAATTCAAAACAGTAAGATATTTTCCTTTCCTGTCTATAAAATATTTATCACTTCCCTTTCAAGCTCTTCTGATAAAAATAAGTATTTCAGCTCTCCCATTCGAGGGAGAGCATTATTCAATACAAAACAGCAAAAATGAATTTCCAAAAGATGTAGGCAAAGAATAGGGAACTACTATCTAACTCCTGAATTCTGTTTTTGGATATATAAGTAGTGAGTCTTAAAAATACTGGTATGGTGTTAGAGAACCTGCACTTAAAGAATGAGTATACTAGAAAATAACTTTTCTGCATTTAGTTTTGTTCTCAGACATAACAGGCTGAGCATTACATAGTTTGTAATATCTGCTACTTTTTTTAGCTCCTGTATTATTTCTCAGTTCTATCACATCTTATATAAAAGAATGTAAAGAAGAATAGAAGGCTTTCGGGATTGTTTTTTTGTTGCCCAAAGTGAAAGGGAGGTGGAAGCCCACTTATGGGAAGTATTGGAGAGAGGCAATTTTCCAGAAAGACAACCATTGCAATCCAATCTTAAAAGCCAAATTCATATTTATTCGTGTTAGTTCTTTTCAAGTGAATTTTGGGAAAAGTAACACAACATATTAGAGGGTTTTTGTATACATAATAGAGATAGGAAAGTTTAGGTGTTTTGGTTTGGTTTGTTTGTTTTTTAAATAAAACTCACTTGGCACAGAGCATTTTTTACGGTGTTACCAACTTGGCTGAACTGGTATATGCATCAGTTATGGGAGACCAAGTTCAGGAGAACTGCACTAAGATCAGAAGATTATTTATGGGATTTCCATATAATTTTTGGTCTGCATCAATAAAAATAATTATTACAGATATAAAACCTTTTTTGTAAAATGCCTTGCAACATAAAATAATGTTTTATTAATTACTGTTAAGCATTGCAGATTTAATCAGTTCCTTCCATTTGGCTCTCTGCTTAACTATATAGGGTAAAACCCACCTACATAATGGTTACAGCACTTCCAATTTAGGATTTAATTCTATGCAATTAAAATGTACTAAAAGGTATACTATCTTCATATATAGAGGTAAAAAAAAAAAGCTTGAAAAGGCAAGAAAAACAGTCCCATAAGGTGAGATTCGCTAGCAGAGTACTCTGCAAAATGCCACACTCATAGGATGTACCTACTTCTCCAAACTGAAGGCATGTCAATCAAAAATACAAGCAAAAAATAATCTACTGTCTTGTATCATTCATGTATAATCAAATATTTTACCAAAAAAGGATGAAAAAAGTAAATCTTCCAAATCACTTAAATGTTTACGAAAACATGGCTCATCTTCAACAATTTCAAGTGAACAAACTGAAAAAGGCCTTCTAAAATTACACAGTTCTTACCTACCTTGTCTTTCTTATCTTGCCTGGCATATGGAAAACATGGAATTACAGCAGTCACTCTGGAGGATGATGCAATCTTGCAAGCATTGATCATGATCAGCAGTTCCATTAAGTTGTCATTTATTTCTCCACAGCCACTCTGGATGATGTAAACATCTTCTCCTCTCACACTTTCACCAATCTCTACACTGAGAAAGCAGGAGATGACCATTTAAACAATTGAATTACTGCGAAAGCGTTATTAAAGAAAAAACAGTTTTGTTTTAACAAGCCTTCACAGGTTTATCCCCATTTAGAGTAAGAGGTTTTTTCACAGTGATTTGGATAACTGTCCCCTTGATACAAAGTCTGTTTCAATATAAGCCAGTCTAAAATTTACTTCAGCCTGAATACAGACTTCATAAGGTCAGCATCAACCAACATGTAATTATGGCTACAGCAATGATGCAGCTCACATTGTTATTAAACTTAATACTGCTTTTTGGTTTACTCTGTATATTCTGTGTCCATGCCATCTTCAGGGAGATGACCATTTAAAGAATAACCTAGATGATAAGTACAGAAACAGAGTCCACTTTAGCACATTAAATACTACCTGCAACAAAATACCTCCATGAAGAAGGTCTTTATTGTTCCATGATAATTAAGACATTACTAGATTCAAGAAACTACTGCATTTTAGAAGAGAGAAGTATCAAACAACATCCTAAAAATGAAGTCTAGTTAAAATTCACAACGTGATGTCCAAATAAAGTATTTTTTTCAAAAATAAAAACTTAGAGAAGAGCTAAGACGACTACTCATCAGCAGATCACCATGACTCAAACTCTTACTTTCAGTTACTCTACTTGCTCTAATTGTACTTAGATACTTTGGTTCCTTATGATAGCATCTAAGAGTTATTTTATTCTACGGATTTCAAGGCAAATTCTGGCACTGATCACTGCTCACACCACAGAATTAAAAAATTAAATATAGCTTATAAATAAACAGGAAAAATTAAAAAAAAAATCAGTTGAATGCATATTCTTTTTCAATAGTAGACCCAAGTAAGAGAAATCTACTGTTGAACCACACTAACATTTCACACCTGTTATTCTAATACTTACATACAAAAGCAGCAGACTAACCTTCATTTTTCCATTAATCCATGCACAACATACAAGAAACATGCAGACTTCCTAAATAATGAGGCAACCGGATCTTTCAAACTCATGCTTTACTAAGTTAGTCTTAATTCTTGAACACTAAAATACCTTGGGCCCTTATTTAAAAAGTCACATCTTTACCCAAGATAAAAATAAATAAAAGCTTCTAGCTGGAAACTATCCAGTGGCCCAGATGTGGGTAGAATAATTTCTCTGATGAGCCTTTCGACACTGAGGCTTGCTCTAGTAAATGGCAGCCCAAACAACTTTCATTTATCAGCTTTCAGGGTGCTGTGTAAGACTTGCTAGCTTTCTGCAGCTACAAAACATAGAAAGGAATTTACTGCTTAAAAACATATTAACGATATGCAAGCATTTGATTTATCACCATCAAGATAATTGAGTCCATGCCCACAGTTCCCCTTGTTTGGCACCTTTGCAGTCCCGAATAAGCTACAAAAAAGTTCTGCTTTAATTTTTCACCGTAATTGAATTTTTTTTTTTTCACCAAGAATGCTACTAGCAGGATTTCCTAGAGCCAAAAGAAAGCAAAGCATCTGTCAAACACCAGGATCTCTGAAAGTACAGAGGTGGTCAGGGAGAGTGTCATCTGCAGGCAAGTCAGTGTTAAGCCCGGTAACCTTTTTGGAGGCATTCATCATGGCACAATACCACAATCTTTTGATTGTACAACTCCTATTTCATTTTTGATCAATGGAATAGAGCTGTTTAGAGAAAACTGGTTTGATCAAAATATTTTCTTAGGTTTTTTTTTCCTTTTTGGAGCTGAAAAAGTTTTGATCAACATAATTTAAGTTCAGCAAGACACTAAGCATCTTCCATAATTGGAAGAACTGGTCAGGCTTAATTAGAAGCCCTACCAAAAACTTTTCTGATGTTAAAATATCAGAGCTCTTCTTCTCAGAAAAATAAGCAAAACCAAATAAACAAACAGAGAAACCTGTCATTGCTTCTGAACACACAAATCTAGCCCCAAGTAAAGCATCTACTCACCAGCTTATAAATGCAGCCTCAAACATCATTACAGATTCATGGTTATTATTACAAAGGCTCTGAAAAATTACAATTGCCACTTGACTCAGTACTTACGCAGACCTGCTTAATAACAAGTGATTACACATACTCCAACTTTGTGACAGGCCTAAAGAACACCACCACCACATGCAAAAGCTATGCAGCATCCCTTTCAGCTGAAGACCATGAAGGTATACTCCAGTTCTGGAAATTAACCTAGGAGCCATTACAAAGCAGAAGAAAGCAGAAAAAGACTAAGGAGAAAACACCTTGGTTTTCAGGGGACAATGTTATTGGAGCAACAAAGGAGGGCAGAATGAGATTTTAGTACTTGGGGAGAAAAGTAACCACTAGTTTCATAGACATATTATGCAATAGGAAAAAACCTTACTGAATGACAAAAATACATGAGCTTAATGTTCCTTATATACACAAAGAACACTGAATTATAACACTCAGAGTTGTTTTGCTCCTTTAAAAACCAGTCATTTCTAAGCACACTGCTAAGAAATAACAGGTTTCAGAAGGTCAGCAAATACACTCTGAGACAAACATAGATCTGGTTAATACAATAGACCTGAAGTGATGTTTCTTCCATTGCCATCTTTTCAACGACCTTGGGCTAACAATAACTTTCTCATCATGTAAACAACTTGAAAAAAGAAAATACTACTTTCTCTCTTGGTGCATTTGAAAAATTTTTGGTTACATTTTTCACGCCAGAATAACATACTTGTTGGCACACAGAAATGTGAATGTATGCGTGTATGTATCCAGAAATAAGTTTTCTAGTGGACACAGAAGTTACGTGCAGACTAAAATAAATCCAACTTCAATGAATACGTGATAGCACTCACAAGTAACTCACCTAAAGGTGCCAAAATACCGCACAAAGATCTACTCCAAATCAACTGAAGACAGCTGTGCAACAGATCAGTATCTCTTATTGCCTACCTTCTCAAGGAGTCGTATTGAGAGCTACTGTGTAGACTCAACCAACAGACATACAGCTGCCTATTTTACCTTCATCAAGTCACACAGTAAAAGACAACCAGTCATATAGTGTTAAAAATATTCCATCAGACATAGCCTGGGGGTTTACTTGAGAAACTGGGGGATTTTTTGGGTACTGTAGGGTTTTTTTTTCTTTTTATGGTTGTGGCAGTTTGGGGGTTTTGTGCTTGGTTTTGTTTTTTTTTCTTTTCTTTTTTTTTTTAAACACATTCAGCTATAAACAGGCAAACAGTAACACACTATAAAATACAGTATCAGATACCTGAAGTATTGTACCTCAAATATCTATTAGAGAACACTAAGCTAACAACAGCAGTCAATCTTTGTGACAGTTATCTTATTAACAATACTGCTAAATTCCACTTAGACCTTATATCATGATCTAATTAACTGTTTGGAGGGTTATTTAAACTATTTCACATAGCGAGGACACAGAGGAAGGACACAAGAAAAAGTTCTTGCCTCAAGATTACAAGCTCTGTTTTATGCAATTTAATTAAATTCAGCTATTTGGTTACACTCAGTTTAAATAAACTTCTCATTCAAGAAGAGTCAACAGAACCTGTACATTAAAACCCCTGACACCTCACAATTGTATTTTTAAGTAAAAACTATAGAAATTAATAGCCCACAAAAGTAATTACCTGTATTTAAACCAGTTGCTTGGAATCCACAAGCACAAGGCTCTAGCTAGGAAAGATACACAGGTCACAATGGAAGCCAAGTTTGAGTGTTAGTATCTGCCTTCAACTTGCAAAGGCCAGTTTGAGAGATCAGTGTAATAACTAGAAACTTGGATAAACTAATTACCATGAATTAAGGATAAGGTTCAAAACTCACTTAAACTACAAACACATTTCAATGGCTGAAGCATCCATTTAAGCAAAATCCAAAATCAGGAGTAACAGCAGGCTGGGCTTCTTCTGAGACAGATTTATAGTACAATCCTAAGAGAACTTACAGTGATGGAATTTTAAATTTGCACATCCTAACTTTAAAAAAAAAATAAAAAGTTGTGGGGAAGCAGGGGAATAAGTATGCAGAGCCAGACTAAAATGGAAACTAATGTAAATCTCTAACTAGGATCCTGTTCAAATCATGCACTTAAAAGGGCTTTATGTATCTTTTTAAATTACTACCACAGATTAAGTTTCTAGCCATGCTTACAAGAAGTAAGATTTCTCAAGCAATTTAGGTGCCAATAAAGTAGATGTACACTTCAGGCACTTTTAATAACCAGAGAAGAGGCAAAAAATTAAGGTCTAGAGTCTTCATACAGTGTGCAAAAAGAATCAATATCTCAAAAGCTGTCAAAAAAATTCACATGCTGAATTTGCAATCCACTGAAACCCAGCCAATGGAAAGGACTAAGCAGAGGGGGGTGTTTGACCTCTTACCTTTGGGAACACATTTTGCAGAGTAAAGTCTTTTAACACAAGACTTCCAAATTACTGGGCAAATATTTCAACTGCTGTGATGTTACATAACAGCGTGGGTACCAGCAAAGTCCAAAGCAACAAAGAAATGACAAAAATGCCAGATTGGGCATATAGATAAGTCTATAGGTAACCCACACCTCTTGGCACCCATGGTCTTCCCTCAAGTCTAGGCTCTTCCACTTTGATTATCAGCTCCAAGACAAATCGCCAATTAGATCTCCATTGCCCTAATGGTGGGCACCAGCATGGCAAGCACCACAAGATGGGAAATACCTTCTTACCCTCCACTCGGACATATAGCCTGCCACTGCAAGAAGAAAACACCTTCAATTGAGCAACTCTAGGTTGAGCCACGTGTAGTCCGAAAGGAAACCTCAGAAATTTTGAAACAAAAGTCTAGCAAACCTGAGCATGTGCAGAGAGTCTTCAAAGGCTGAGTACCAAACTCTGCAGCTAAGAACATGTGAGATTGTCAGGTACTATTCACATGGGTCAGTTTTTGGTTTTAGATTTCAAGAATTTAGCATCTACTTAAAGATAAAGAGCACACAT